CACGTGGCACAAGATCACCAAGTACATTGACTTTGATAATGGTGAGTGTGCTTGGCCATGGCTGGCTGCTGCTCAGGAGCTGGTGCCCACAAGCCCGTCAGACATACCTGTGGCACTGCTCTCACCCAGCCACGTGGCCAGGGACCTCCGTGCCTGTGGCACTTGGGCTGCTGGTACGTCCAGGCACCATCGATTAAGCCGCATGGAGAGGAAGCTGCGTGGGTTTCTGACGGCCTAGGGTGCCTGGGCATTTAGGTCCCTGGCTCACCCTGGGCCCGTGTCCCACGCTGGGAGGGCAAGGCCCCTGGTCCACCAGGAGAGGCAGGGTACAGGTGCGGGCCAGCCAGAATCGAACCCCCCACCACCGGTGTCTGTGCTTCTTGCCCAAGGGGAGCTCCTTGTGGTGAGGGTGGGACCAGGGGGCGCGGGGAGGGCCTGGGGAGGGCTGGCTTTCTCAGGGCTCTTGTCCGTGTTTGAGGCCGGGCTCCAGTCATGCCGTGTGCGGTTCACATGTCGGGTTCACATGTCCTGGTCAGCGCTCCGAGCGGCCTTTCTGATCAGCCCACGTCCCCAGGGGTGGGTGTGGCCGCCTCCTGTCTCTATGTCTCTGCGGGTCACGCCTGCCGCTCCCTCGTTGATCCACCTTTCCTGGCGCTGTTCTTGGTGTCCACAGCCTCACTCCTCCCGGTCATTCCAGACGTTTGCTTTCACTAACTCCGCTCGTTTCTGACCGTGCAGTTAAAGTAGTCTGCGTTCTGACATAGACCTACCGTGGTGTCACTCCCCTTGGAGTCTTTGCCGCCGTGAGGCCTTGGTGTGAGCCCCTGATGTCTGACCTCCTGTGTTTCCCGTGTGCTCACTCTGGGCCTGTCGGGGACGTCTCGGCCATGCACCTGCCAGCACCCGCCGGGCCGACCCATCCGACTTCCCTCCCTGACCCTCCTTGGGTCAGCATGTTGCGACCTGGGGTTCCTCCTCCAGCCCGAGCAAGGCCCAGAGAGCACAGTTCAAGCAGTCTCTTTCTGTAAAAGGTCAGATGGTAAATATTTTGGGCTTTCCCAAACTTTGGGGTTTGCAGTCTGTGGAAACTCTTTGTAGACAGACGGTAAGCAGGTGTGTGTTACTTGGTTCAGAAACACTTCTTTCACAAAAAGAGGCCATGGGCTGCATTTGGCCTGTGAGCCATAGTTTGCGGACCCCTGCCCTAGAGAAATCCTTCCCTGCTGCCACCGGCCAGTGTGGGAGCCCTTGGGGATGGGGCACCCGAGCTCCAGACAGTCACAGTTGTTACCCGACCTTGTCACCTGAACGTAGTTCCCTCTGAATCCTTGTGGCCATCTGTCACCAGTCAGAGTCTTGCTGGTTGTACCTCAGAGGTTTTCGGGTCTGTTCTTACTGCCTGGTCCCCTTCGTCCTGTTCAAATCGTCACTGTTCTGCCATGGCCCAGTCCCACCGTTCTGAACCTGCCCCTCACGTCTCTGCGGGGCTGCTCCCTGCCTGTGCCCCTGGGCTCTCGTGCTGACCCGTGGGCTGGTGGGAGCAGGCTGTCCACCATCCTGGTGCCCACGCTGCCACCCCCGCCTGGTCCGCCTCCCTCATCCTGCTCAGCTTCCTAGGCCATGTGCCCGTGACATTCTCCCTGAAATCCCTCCCTGCGTCCTTCTCTGCCCTCCTGCTGCTGCCCGAGTGGAGACCGGCTCTGCCTGTGGCTCAGGACATCACCCTCAGGGTAGGTGAGAAAACCCAAGTGCAGCCATGCAGGCCCTCGCCCAAGCCCCCCAAGACAGCCAGTGGGGGAGCCGAGACCCCCGCTCTTCCCAGGTGCCCTCTGCATGTGCTCAGCACAGCCCCCGCCCCACGAGTGCCGGCTTTTAGGCCACTTTTCTTGCCGCTGTGGGCTTTCTCTCTGCTCTCTGTTGAGTGACGTCACCGCAGGTGACCACGTTTCACTTTTCCTTTCGGACTGACAGGTCACTTCTGGTGGCTTCGAATAATGCATTTGTGGACATCTCTGTTCACAGAGCACTCTTCTTCAGAAGCGCTTTCTTCAGGAAAATTGTTTGGTAGAGATCAGCTTACTTACGTCTCGTTGTGAGTGCTGATCGTCCCTGCGAGGGTCAGGGTCCGGCCTGCTGGCCTGGCTGGCTGCTGCTTTGCCATGTTTCCCATCAGGCTCTGTCCTTGACCAGGGAAGAAGGAGTCCCTGGCAGTTGAGCCCACCCCATCCGGGGGCAGGACCCCGTGGCAGGGCCTTCCCTCTGCCAAGTCTACGGCCCCACCAAGCTGCTCTCTGGCCAGCACAATGCTCTCGTTTTCACGAGTCCTTTCCAGGTCCCTTTCCAGCTTGACCACCTTCCACTGGTCACCTCAAGCAGTGTACTTCCAGTCCTCGTAGGGTACACGTGTCTCAGTGTTTACGACACATCAGGGAGGCTGACTGGGCGGAGGGCTCAGCACCCCGAGTCAGTCCCAACCCCTGGGGCCTCCAGTCCAGCCTGGCACCTCCATGGGGAAAGTAGATCAGGAAGGAGCAGTGGGTCCAGCACCTTGGGACAGCGTGTCCGTCGATGTGGACGGCCGTTCTTTCTGGAGACCTGTGGGAATGGCCCGTTAACTGCCATGCGTTGGGGACCGTCCCTCGGTCTTTTGCTGATGCTGTGTTGTTTATTGGGTTTCGGGTCTGTGTGAGCATGAATAGGAGATTCTCTGCTGGCCTGGGGGTGCTGGCCCTGGAGTCATGTCTTGCTCTCAAGCAGAGTGTCACCTAGCCGTCTGCGTACCTGCTGGCTGCGCATGTCCTTAGTTCTCCGCACTTCCCAGATACCAGCACAGCTCCGAGGCCTGTTGAGTCTAAGACTTGGTAGCGTCCATGGTCACCCATCCCTGCCTTCCACAGTGGCCCGTGTCCCTGGCATCCTTTACCTGAGCCGTGTGCTTCCTGGTGGCTCTGCCTGGGAAGCATCTGCCTTTGGCTCGGGTCGTGATCCCAGGGTGCTGGGATCGAGCTCCATGTCCGGCGCCCTGCTCAGCAGGAGCCTGCTTGAGGATTCCCTCTCACTCTCTGTCCTTGCCTCCACACTCCTTCACCCCAGGACATGACCCTGTGAGAAGAGCCTTCTTTCTGTTGAGCTGTCAGTTCCAACAAAGTTTTGTATTTATTTATTTATTTATTTAGATTTTATTTATTTTTTGGAGACGTGTGCACAAGCAGGGGGAGGGGCAGAGCAGGAGGAAGAAGCCAGCTCTGCCTGAGTGGGGATCCCGATGCGGGGCTCGATCCCAGCACCCTGGAAGCATGACCTGAGCTGAAGGCAGAGGCTTAACCCACTGAGCCACCCAGGTGCCCATCTACCAAGGTTTCTCGCTGGTCCTGGTGATCTCTCCACGTTGGTGGCAGCCGGGTGACAACATGAAGCCCAAGGGCTACCTGCCCCTTTGTGGGGCTCTGGCAGTTGTCTTGGCTTGGCACTGCCCTGCTGTCCTCCCTCCTTGTGCCTGGATCCGCTTCCTGTCTCTGCGGGTTTGCCTGTTCTGGACGTTTCTCAGCGGCAGTATCATGGCGTGTGGCCTCTCCCTGCGTGCCGTGCTTTCTCAGCCCATCCACTTTGTGGCCGCTGTTAGAACTCTTCCCTCGCGTGGCGGACAGATCCCACTGTCTGTACGTTCCACGCTTGTCTGTCCACTGCCTGGTGGTCTCGGCGTCCGGAGCAGCGGTCCCCCATGAGAGGCCCGACGAGGCCCCTCGGTCTCTCTCCGGAGAGCCTCCGGGAGTGGTTGGCATGACGTTAGCAGAGTTCCAGGCTCCTGCTGGCCTGTGTGAGGGTTAGAAGCTTCTGTTTCGATCATTCGTTCATGATCTTATTTTCACTTGCTGACACGTTTTTGGTTTCCTTTCCTGGGGGTTTAATCACACGCCCAGAGTGTTGGGAATTTGGAAAGGACTCTCTGAGGAGAAGCCAGGGAGAGCCGTTGTGAGGACAGTGGACGGGCTGAGTGAGGACAGGCTTCCCGGGTCACAGCTCGGTGAGGTGGTGGGGACGGTGCCAGACTGTGCTGGCCCGAGCTGGCGGGTTGCCTTTAGGTTTGGCCTGAGGTAACGGGGAGCTCAAAGCAGCGTGGTGTTTAGCACAGCGGAATTTGTTCTCTCTGGTCCAAGACCGCAGGGAGGCAGTAGGGCAGGCGCGGGGACAGGGTCTGCCCTCTTTCTGCTGTGCCATCCCAGCATGTTGCTTGTGTCCACGGCGGCGAGGCAGCAGCTCTGCAGGGCAGAGGGATGGGCCACGAGGATGCGTTTGTCCTGAGTCAGTCTTCAGTCATGTCCGGAGCCTCTGGATGTCTCCTGCTCACACCCGAGGCCAGGACGTAGGGGCGTGGCGCTGTCTAGCCACAGGACAGGCTGGGACGCGTGCCGTCTGACCTGGATGTCTTGCTTCCCGAGCGAAGCGAGTCTGTGGGAGAGGAGCCGGGGAGGGTGGGTGTTGGCACTGGGGGTGGTTGGGGCTGTGGTTCCTCTTCTGTATGGCCCTGAGCCCTGGGCGGTCGGTCAGTGGTCAGAGATGGTGCGACACGTCCGTGTCCTTGGTCCCGGGGCCGCAGGCCTCACATGATGGAGCTTGGGTGTGTTCTGTGTGTGCGGAAACAGACAGTCCTACCCCACCTCCTCTGCCTCTGTGGAAGCTGGCCATGCTGACATCCCAGTCTGTCCTCCTGGGGACACCACTCTGCCAGTGAGGTCTCATTTCCTAGCCCCACCCCGGTTTCTTTGGTCTAACGTATTTAAAAAATTTGAAAAGCAGCCCCTTGTTCCTGTGTATGTCTCACTCCGTTTCCCCCGGGGCTGACGTCCTGGGGGACCAGTGCACATTGGCTGAAACCATGAGATGAGCCGCGTTCGTGTCCTTCATGCTGGTCCTGTGCCGGGAGCTGGCTGCTGTCCATGTGGGTGTCTTCCCATGGTAAAGCTCTATCTTGTCTTCGTCTTTCAGTGTTTTCCCGTGGGCTGAAGAAGTCATCCCAGGAGCTGTACGGTCTGATCTGCTACGGCGAGCTGCGGAAGAAGGTCGGGGGCTGTGAGTACGGGTGCTCGCGGCTCTGGGAGTGACACCCCTGTGTGCTTGCAGCCTCTCCTGGTGGGGCCTGCTCTCCTGTCACTGCGGGTCTGTGACGCCAGCGCTCTTTCCCCTCCGACAGGTGCAGTGGGCCCCCACGTACCTGCACCAGCACTCAGACTGACACGTTGTTGACGCTGGTCATGTCTGTGTGTGCGCCCCACCCCTGGGCATACTTTCTTGGTCGGCATCTGAGGAGGGCCCTGACGTTCTTCCTGTGTCCCCTGAGTGCAGGGGCGTTGTCCTGCGTGCCCACAGTTCTGTTATCCAGCAGGCTCCACTGTCTTACCGAGTCCCTGCTTGTCTTATCGGAACACCCAACACCTGGTCCAGTCCCGCCGGTCAGGGATGTTGTGCTCTGGCCTTCCAGGGGCCCTGAGTGCCCAGTGGCCTACCTCGCCACCCCACGCGGGCTCAGAGTAGGGGCGCCCTTGTCTCTGCAGGTGGCACTGGCCACCCTCCCACAGTGGAAGGGTGCTCACCCACAGGGCCACACCAGAGGCCCAGTGAGCCCCACGTGAGGGGGTCGTAAGCCATCTCCTCTCTGGTCACCCAGCATGCCGCTGCTCGGCAGGGGTGGTGGGACGGGGGTGTGGAAGCAACAGAGGGACAGGTGGAAGGGTGTTCGTGGTTTGTGGACTGCTCTGCACGTGCTGGCCTAGAAAAAGGCAAAAGCCAGACAGGAGGCTTGGCGCCCCAGCCCCATCCTCCCTGTGGTCTGAGCACTTCTCTGTCACCCGCTATCTTTTCCTGGGGTGCTCCCGGGTGTGGTGCTATACAGGGCAGTGACTTCTCCCAGCCACTGCTGTGTGGCCCCTCCTTTGTCCCCGCCACGTACAGGTCTCGGCCCGTGCTCTCCTAGCCCATCTGAGCCCTTGCAAGGCCGGCCTGGCTCTGTGACCTTGGGTGGTTTGCCGTTGTCGCCCCCCCATCCCCGGGCAGCGCTGGGACCCTGGCACCAGGGGCCTCTGTACTTGGACCTCCTCCCCTCTTTCTGACACCCTGCAGCTCAACTGATCCCTCCTGCTGGTGACATCTCCCCCGTCCCTCTTGACCCAGGCACCTGTCACGCGTCCTCTGGACCCCACCTGAGCTCTTAGTGCCCTGCACCCCCATGGGGCTGGTCTAGCTGAGCCCCGCCTGACCCCGCCCGACCCCCGCCGGCCCCCCCCCCCCCAGCCGCACTCACTGGGACGTGAGTGTGCACAGGGAAGCGGCAGGCTTCCGGGCGCTGCCTCCTGCAGAGACTGCTTGTGGGCAGACGCTCCGCGGCTCTGCCGGAATCGTGGTCAGGGCGCGCTTTTATTTAAGACAGTCTTCTTAGCTGAGGTTTCTGGACCCATGTGAGTCCTGAAACAGTGGACGTCAAGTCTCTGCTGTGTCCCTGGGACTCGGACACAAGCTCCGTGCGTCAGCAGCAGGGCTGCTGTGCTGGGGGTGTCCTTGGGGCCAAAGAGGCTCCACCTCGATGAAAACAAATGTCCATACAAGGCTCCTTGGCTGTGAGGTGGCAGGTTTGCTCCCAGGTCTGAGTCTTACACCCAGAGCTTATTCCTGCTGCCATAGCGGCCCAGTGTTGGCACAGGGCACGGGGGACACACCAGCCATCTCCAGTCCTCACCCGTGTGTTTGGGCCGCTTTTCCCTGAAGGCTGGGTCCTGGGATGGTGCCTGCACATGATTCAAACCTGGTGGTTGCCACATCTCCATCCCCGGGCCTCTGTCCGTCTTTCTGGCCTGCATGCAGGACTGATGGGACCTTCGCTTTCCTTTTGGCACTGCTTTCTGCTTTCCCTTTTGATCTCTGCTCCCACGCCCATGGACCTGCAGGACAGTCTGGCCTCCCGGCGGAGTGCCTGGCCCTGCAGACCCTGCCTTCCCGGGGGGACGGCCTGCTGCGCTGCTCACCCCTGGGGCTGCTGGGACCTGTGTGCGCCAGGGGAGGGCTGTGCCCGCCTCTTTCCCTTCTGTCCCGGAGGCCTGTCTCTGTCCCTGTGGGATGTGCCTTTCTGTCCTTGTCACATGTCCTTTAGTGATCATTTGTCTGTAAAGCTATGTTGTCTTCGTTCTCTTTTTTCTTCCTAAGATTTTGTTTATTTATTTGACACAGAGAGAGAGAGAGATCACAAGTAGGCAGAGAGGCAGGCAGAGAGAGAGGAGGAAGTCGAGCAGGGAGCCCGATGTGGGGCTTGATCCCAGGACCCTGAGATCATGACCTGAGCTGAAGGCAGAGGGTTAACCCACTGAGCCACCTGGGTGTCACTGTCTTCGTTCCTGAAAGGTGTTTTGCGGGACGTAGATCTCTGATGCAACAGTTTTTCTTTCTTCACTGTGAAGATGTGGCTCCCACATCTGGCCTGCGCGGTTTCTGGGGAGAGGCCACTGGCCCTTGTGTCTTCAATCCTCTAGAAGGAGTAGTTACTTTTCTCTTCTGCTTTAAGGATTTTGTCCTTGTTTTGGTTTTCGGCCTGTCTGTGTCTGTGGCTTGTTTTTTCCCCCAAAAGTATAGAAGAGCTAAAAGAACTTTGCAGTGACCCGCAAACGTCCAGCTCCTCTCAGGTTACTTTGTTTCCCTGCCCGTCCAGAGGGCAGTACGGACGCTGGGAGGGCGCAGGGGAACGTGGGGTCAGCGCTAGCGAACGCACAGGCTCTCGGTTCATCGTTCACCCACCCTGGGGACCTGGTGACCCAGAGATGCCCTGAGCCCAGCAGGAGAGGCCTGCCTGCTGAAGACCCTGAGGGGGGTCTGTGCGCTCCACGGCTGGGGAGGGCGGAGGCTCAGCGTAGGGGGGTCTGGCAGGGAGGCATCCGCGTGCGGAGGCAGGTAGTGTTCCCTCGAGAAAGTCTGGGTGGATGGACACGACGTGCAGGTGGGGACGGCGCTCTCGGTCTGGGCTTTGGGAGGAGCTGCGGCTAACGCGGGCCTGTGTTCTGGAAAGCCGTTATCTGATAATGACTTGGGAATCTTCACAGGTTTTGTTCTGTAGAGCTTTGTGGTCACGTTTATTTGCTTTTCCGTTAAAGGTATGGACGACAAGAACGCCACAAAGTTGAATGAGCTCATTCAGGCCGGGTAAGTGGGGCTTGCCCTGTGGAGCGCTGCCACGGATTTGGGACGCACATGGGCTTCTCTAAGGCCCAGACCCGGGACTCGTGGTTTTCTTGCCTTTTCTCACCAAGGCCCGTAAAGTGCCGAACTCCCCGGGGTTAAGCGGTTTGCCGCTCGGGGCCCTGGGAGCAGGGGACCACGCCCGGGCTGCTCCCCGTCTCCTCCTTCCCTAGGGGCCCCCTGGCGCGGTGGCAGCCCCCACGCAGCCCTGACCACCTCACATTCCCGCCCTGTCCCCACTTGCGTGCGGCTGGGAGTGCCTTCTCCTCTCGCTCCCGGCGTCCTGCGGCTCCTCTGGTCCTGTTCCTGTGCTGCGCCCGCCGAGGCCCCGCGCCCCTCGAGGCCGGGCGGGTCTGCCCGTGAGGTTCTCCCGCTTGCTCTGCGCCGGCTGGTGCTGCAGTAGAGACGACGTGTGACACGTGCCTGGTGCCCCATTCAGAGCTGGCCTTCGGGGCCTCCTTCACTCTGTCAGCCTCTCTGTCAGGCCCCGGCCTCGTGCCGGTGTCTGACTCTGGGTGGCCCTCCAGCCCCATAACTGCCCGCTCCTCCCCCTCCCGGAGCCCTCCTGGGACCGTCCCGATGCTGTACTTCTCTTGGTGCCGCTCTGTACTCTCCTTGGGCAGTGGGAACGCTCCTCGGGGCGTTGGCAAACCTTCTCTGGGGAGGGATTCCAGATCCAACTCGTCCCAGTTTATAAATCCCGTACGACATAGAGTTCCCCTGTGTCCCAGCCGGGAGGTTGCAGCAGCCCTTCCTGGGAAGGCCCTGACCTCACAATCTTGGGGTCCCTCTTGCCCTCCTTTGCTCCTCTCGCCCGTCAGCCCTCTGCCTCTCCCGGTTGCCCTGGCGGGGGCCCTGGCCACACTACTGCGTGGCCCGGACCCTCCCCTGGTCCCCAGTCTGCAGGTTCTGTGTGCATGGCCTTTCCCCTGGTGCGGCCCTCATTGACGGCTGCCGCTGTGTCCCTCCCCCTCGACCCTCCGGAGCTCATGCGCTCCGCCTGGATCTCTGCCCCCTGTCCTAGATGGACCCACGGGCCGTCCCCGGGCTCCTCCCAGTCGAAGGCTAGTTGTCCCCTGGAACATCTGCAGGACGTGGCCTTACATCTCTGGTCTCCTTTCTCTCTCGGCCTGGTGCTGGCTGGCCTGCACGCCCCCGCCCGTTGGGCAGGAGCTCCTGACAGCTGGGGCTGGCCGTGTGGTTTGTGCCTTGGCTCCAGCCCAGCGTCTAACCTTACCGATGCTCCCGCTGAGCTCCCAGGGGTTTATTACCATGAACTGCCCCCTTGGAAGCAGGCACGGTAGTAACCAGGCCGCGGGCGCGAGCGTCGTGTGGAAAGGGCAGCAATTCACCCCGCCTGCCACGGAGGGGGCGGACAGCCTTCACCGCCGGTGTCCTCGGGCAGGTGGAGCCTCGTGGAGGCGTGGGGCCAAGCTCTAGAGCGAGTGACTCTGGCCACCGCTCCCCACCCCCACTGACCTGCAGTCTCAGCGTCTTCCTCCTTCCCGCCCTCGCACAGGCCCTGCCGCGCTGGGGTCAAAGCTGTTTGTGGGCTCTCTGGGTGCCGTGCGTGCCTCTGGGGCAGCGTCGCAGGAAGGCAGAGGATCCTTAGCAGAAGTGGTTTCTGGGCTTCACATCTCCCCCGCCAGCAGGAGAGCTGTCCCGTGAGCAGGAGCGCGCTCTCTGGATGCGATCTGGGGGGCGTCTCCTTCCCCTTCTGTTTCACTTGCCCCACACTCGGGCCGGAGCCGAGATTCCTGGTTCTTTGTGCTCAAGGGCGTCGGGCACTGGTTTAATGGAGAACTGTGCGTTTGCTTGGCTTTGAGTTAGTCTCATTGCAGGAGCGGCGCAGAGAGGAGGTGGCCTCCTGGGTTTCTGGACAGACAGGGGTCTGTCTCACAGTCCATCGACTTTGGGGAAGGCGTGTTGAGAAGCATGAAAGCGGCCTGGTGGTCAGTTTTAGGGCCTCCTGGAGATTGGAGAGGCCCTGAGCTGGGGGCCAGAGGGACGAGCAGCCAGGTCCCCACGGTCTGGGCAAGGGGCCATCATATTAAAGCCTGAAGGCGATGTGACTGTGGGATGGTTCCGACCCAGGAAGGATCCAGGAGGCGCGTGTGCACCTCATGTTTGCCTTGGATATCCAGTGGCGCGCTGTTGGGATGGCCCGTGGCCGGTGAACAGCGTGCGTCCGGGGCAGGTGGATCAGCAACCGGGCTGCTCCGGGGGGGACCAGAGGGAACGTTCCCGGGCCGTGTTCCCCACAGCCGGTGGAGATACCCGGCCTGCAGGGAGGGCAGCATAATTCTCCTTGCCTCGCTGTGGGCTGCGCGCAGGGACTCCTGAAGGGGGCCACATAGGGAGGCAGGAGGCGGCCAGCCGGATGTGACCCGAGCCCCCCAGCAGTGAAGTCGGGGCAACAGTGGCTGAGAGCGTGGGGTGGCGCATGTTCTCCCGACACGAAGGCACGGAAGTGGGGTTGCAGCCCCAGTCACGTTGCATCTCTTTCCCTGGCTGCCCTGGCACGTGACAGCCATTGGGAGAGCTTGCAGGCCGATGTGCCCGCTCCCCAGACCCCCCGGGTCAAGGAGGGGGAGGAGTGTTACCACGCGTGCCTCCCTGCATGGCTCAGGCCAGAGAGGAGAGCAAATGGAAGCGGTGTTGTTTGTCACAGTTGTGGGTGGAGAGTCTCAGGGCACTGTCCGTGGAAGTGTTTGCAAACAGCAGGCGTGCAGTGTGCGTGTGTGACCCACCCTGTAAGTGTGCGTGCCCTCTGACCCCACAGTCCCACGGCGGGGAAGCCGTTAGGCCAACGGCGAGCCACCCTCGTAAGGGTGCGTACCGCGGTGCCAATCTTGCTGGCAGAGGGCGGCGCAGAGGGAAGCGCGGGGCCTGGCGGGATGTGGTGTGCGTTCTTTTCTTTGGAAGCGAGACGGGGTGAGTGCTTGGCCGCAGCGGGACAGCTCAGTGAGTAGCTCTCGCCTCACGCCAGGGCCCTCTGGGGGTGGCGGGCGTGCAGGGCACCTCCGTTCTTCACACCAGCCTTCTGTTTGAGCAGCTCGGAAGGGAGCTTCTGTCCCGTTAGAGGAGGGAAGGTCCGCGCTGGGAAAGGGTATTCTTCTTAGCTCTACGCTGGTGTGACTGTTTTTGCCCTGTGGAGCCTTATTCACGGAAGTGCATCTGTCTGTATTTCTGGCTGCAGAGGTCTAAGGTCTGTGGCGTGAGCCTTGGGACCTCAGGCTGAGTGGCTGCTGTCGCTGCCTGGTGGTCAAACTGTGTAGGAGCCCTCGGAGGGTTGTGGGGTGACAACGACCCCCCCCCAGTGCTGGCCCTGGGACGTCGAGGCGGGGACAGGTGGGAGCCAGCGCCAGCACAGAGCTCGTGAGGCCCTGGGCTCGAGGAGTGTCCCGGACAGAGGCTGGGTGCCCTCGGGTCCTGCTTCCCAGCTCCTTCCCCCAGGCCCCGTGGGTGGCAGGCTGCACGAGGGTTTCTGACTGCCGTTGCCCTCTGCTGCCCCCACCCCGGGACACTCCATCTCTTACCCGGGTGACGGGCTCTCCCTCTTCCCCCGGCTGTGAGCTCGGACGCCGCCCCAGCCCTGAACCTCCACACGGTCTGTGTGTCGTGTGTCTCTCACGTGTGACTGGCCAGCTCGGCACTCCCTTGGGTACCGTGGGAGCTTACCTGTCGGGCCCCGGACCAGCCCATAGCTCCGGAACAGCTGAGTGCTGAGCACCGGGGCCAGGTCAGACGGGGCTCCAGGGAGCCCCTCACAGGTCCCAGGTGGGGAAGCACGGTGGTGCCGTGTGCTGCTGGCTCCGTGTCTGCTTGGCTGATGTGCCGGAGAAGCAAGGTGGTCACTCTTTCAGTCTTTCAGAAAGTTGATCGTGAAAAAGTTCAAGCATCAGAAAGGTTGAAACAGCAGGAAAACAGACACTGTCTCCCCTTGACCTGGATGTACTGGTGGAGGAGCTGCCTGCAGGCCGTGCTCACGTGCACCGGCTCTGGGTGGTCGGAGAGGGCGGTCCTGTGTGTGCACGTGCTGTCACTTGTCCTGTTGTGCCTTCCATTCCCTTTCTCCCCTGCTAGACTGTGGACTTGTCTGTGGTCTGCGGTACGGGCCGCTGTCTGGAAGTGTGTCTTGAGCAGGTGCCTTCTTACGTGTGCGCGGCAGAGCAGAACAAGAGCGACAGTAGGGCCATGTCTTGTGTCCACCATAGGCTCCTGTGGGATAGCGTCCCTGCCCTGCAAGCCCCCCGTGCTATCCTGACTCGCTCCCTCCCCCAGCCCTGTCTGCAAGGGTGCCTTTTCCCGAATGTCACCGAGAGGGCATCACCCAGAAGACGGCCTTTTCACACAGCCTTTCACGTCCTATTCCGAGTGTGAGGAAGTGCATGGCGCGGACACAGCCGGCTCTATCACCCCCAGCCTCCCTGTGTTGCCCCTCTGCGGTCCCCATGCCCGCCCAGCCGCGGCAGCCCCCTAGGGTCCTCCTCTCCCAGGACGCCATCCACACGGGGTCACACCGCGCCCGGCCGTCTGAGGTTGGCGGTTTCCCTGTAGCGGTGTGCATGTGAGCTCTGTCCCTGTGGGTCTGGAGTTGGTGCCTCTCCCTGCGGCGTAGCGTCCCCGTGGCGGCCGTCCCGTGTGCTTCTCTGTCCCCCAGAGAGGGGCACGGGCTGCTCTGTAGAAGGAGCTGCTCTAAACCTTGGTCTCAGCGTGTTCGTTCTGTGGCACCCGGGCAGACGTGTAGGGGTGTGGGTGCTGGTTTCCTAGGGAGCTGCCTGTGGTCTTCCAGGCAGGCCCGTCGCTGCCCACGCTCTCCACACTGAGCCTCACGGGTGGGAAGTGGTGTCTCCTGGCGGGGTCGGTCTGCACATCCCTGGGGACTAGCCACCCTGAGCATCTTTCTTGTGCATGTCCGTGTCGCCTTTCTCTCTCCAGTGACCAGCCTGCTCAGATCTTGCACCTGTTTCCTTATCACTGAGATGAGAAAGTTCTCAAAGTGCTGCAGACACAAGTGTTTGGTCGGGTGGGTGTCGGCAGTGTTTTCTCCTGGTCTCCGGCTTGTCCTGCCTTCCTGGTGCCTATGGGGGGCGGTGCTCAGTCCTGCTGAGGCCCCGTCTGCTGTCTTCCTTTATGGGCTGTGACTTCAGTGTCACCTCCGGGAACTCTTTGTCTTGCTCAGAGTCACGGTGCTGCTCTCTGCCTCTTTGTAAAAGTTTTAGGGTCTGATGTTTCTATTCGTGGTCTGTGACATGCAGTTCGTGCCGTGGTTCATGTTCGTGGTCCGTGGGCATCTGGAAAGCGCTGTCCTTCCTCCCCTGGTGCTCCCATATCCTTGTGTGAGGCCCGCGGGCCGCGCTGCGTGGGTCTCTCTGCAGGTTTCGCTCCCGTTCCACGGCTGGGTGTGTCGCCTTCCACCAGCAGACGCCTGTTTCCGAGAACAAAGCCAGTGTCCCATAAAGGCGAAGCAGATGCGGGGGACGTCAGTGCGGTGCCCGTCGGGAACAGCTCCTTTACTTGAGGCCGTGGAGTGCCGACGCAGCTAACTTCCCGTGTGCTCCTGCACACTTCCTCAGTGGTCTGTGAGCGTCCTCTCGTTGGAGAGCTGTAGGACTCGGGAGCAGATGGATTGAGGAGAGCCCTCAGGTCGCCCCTCGTGGCGACAGTCCCAGGCTAGCGGGGAAGAGTTAGCACGTGTTTACTGGGCTCGTCACGTGACTTTGCAGAAGGGAACGTAGACTCCCGTGCCCGTAGAGGAGCTAGCCTGTTGCCCGTTTCGTCAGAGCAACAACGTGGGGGTGGGGGGACGGGTTGCCTGGGGTCCTCTGGGCGACCTTCCGTCAGTGTCGAAGTGCGAGCCTTCTGCAGATGGTGTGTCTTAAAGCCGGGGCGCCCGGCCTGGTGGTCGCCCTGCCGTGGCTCAGCTCCAGGACGGGCTTGCGGCTGGGGGGCCCGGACCGCATCCGGGACTGTGGCCAGGCCCGTGAGGCCTGTCTGCGAGCCGAGCGGGGCTTTGCCTTGGCAGCCGCAAGCCTCAGGACATTCACAGGACCTCCGTGTAAGAGAAGAGAAAAGAGAGCGTGATCTGAGATGTTTTCTGGTCGTACAAGAGGGGGCTGTTCAATTTCACTTAAAAAAAAAAAAACTAAAAAAAGGAAGTCACAAAAGAGCAGTTTAACGGAAATGTAATTATCGCAAACACAGGTGCCCCGTGGCACGGCCGCCTACCCCGTTTTGTTGCTCTGGTGCAGATGGAACAAGAAGTGACGGGCCGAGAGGCCCCCGGGCCCTGAAGCTGCTGCCGGGACCGGCTGGGACTGAGTCCGCCTTCCGCACGCCCACAGCAGCACTTAGCCGCCTCCGTTTCCCTGGCTCAGGGGGGCCTCTCCTCAGGGTTTCCCTCTTCGGCGGGGCGAGGCGTGCCTTCCACACAGACTCCGTCCTCTGAACCACGCTGCCTGGCCCAGTGCCGGGAGTGGGCTTCCTGGTGTCCTGGTCTCTTCGACAGGCGACCCTAGCTCCGCGCCGCTCATGGTGCTATGCTGATCGCTGGCACAGAAGGGGCTCGGCCCGCAGGCGGCTGGGTGCGCGGCACGGCGGCTACCTGGTGGCGTTAGCGCTGGGGTCTCGTGAGACTGGCTGCCGCAGCCTGGTCCTGCCCACATCCCACCGCTGTCCCGGCCTTCTAGACTCCCTCTGGGGGCCTCCGTGTAATCTGCTGTGGGGGTCTCAGAGCTCTTTCCCTCCCCAGGAGGAGGGCGGTGCAGCTTCGTTTCCTCAGAGGTGGGAGTTGTGTCTGAGCCGGCTGCAGCGCAGATGTGAGCGCACCCGGGGCTTGTCCTCGGGGAGGGTTGGGGGTGGGGAGCCAACGCTTGTCTCGCACCGCCGAGGGCACCGGGACCTCCATCTGTAGGCAAGACTGTTCCAGAGTCACGCTTCTATAGCTCTGTGCGTCACACGCAGATACAGCCGCATGCACACCCAGTGGTGCAAACCCTAACCCCAGCCGCCCCGTCCGCCTTCTGCTCCAGAAGTAACCACGGACACAAGGTCCGTGTGGATCTCCGATTTTTTTTCCCGGGTACCTCGTGTGTGTAAATGTACAGATATAATACGTGATTCTTTTTCATATGCTTGGAATCGTAGCACATACGTCCTCTAAGTCCTTCACTAGGTTTTCTTAGAAACGGAGTGGCCATGACAGAGCAGCTCTCTCCTGGAGAGGTCACAGTGTTCCAGAAACTGGTTAAAACAGTTATAAAAGCAACTTACGGCATACCAGACCCTGCTAGAGAGTGTGAACCTGCGTCTGTAGCCACTGGTTGGCCGGCCAGAGCTGCCTGTGACGTCTCAGGGTCCTGTGGTGACCTGGTCCAGAAGCACTGGCCTGCACATGCCTTTGGTGACTTCCTGTTCCAAGCAGAGGAAGGGCTGCCATGTCCCGCCGGGTCCCCCGTGTCCCAGAGTTGTCATCACTTCCTTGTCAGCCAAGCTTTCTCAAGTATCCCCAAGCCTCCCAAGTGTGCTTTCCAGAAGGAACTCTCTTTTGGATGTTCTGTTCATCAGTTACAGGAAATTCTTTAGTTTATGTCATTCTAACACACAAGCTGTGGCCACGGTGGGGTTCACACAGGGTCATCCTCAGCTGTGGCAGATCCAGGGCCCGCCTGGGGTCCGTTTTGGGGAGCATGAGCAGGTGGCACCTTGTGTCTATGGGATGCGAGCGGCTCCTGCTCCCGAGGGCTCCGCCAGTGTGGCTGATGTAGGGACCGCAGAGTGCTGTAGTGGGGAGTAGTGGCTGCCTCGAGCAGGGCTCGGAGCTTCTGCTCTCCAGGGACCTCGAGGAGGTGGAAGAGAGAAGGGCGTGCATTTGACGTCTGATGGGGCTCCTGCACAGTGGGCTTTCCAGGGGATGGACAGCAGCTGGTGCCACACCACTTGCAGGCCGGAGGGCGGGCCCGCTTCCGGTGACAGACAGGTGTCCTCCTCGCAGCGGGAGGTGCGGGCGGGAGGACAGTGGGACCTCCAGCGTCATAGTGTGGTCTCACCGTGGGCAGCTGCCTGTGACCCCGGGGGCTTCCAGACCCCGTGTCTGTCCAAGCTCTCACTGGCCCTCTGTGTGTGCTCGGCGGAGAGTGGCCATTCACTTGGAGACCTCACGGTTCCCCTCAAACCTTCCCAGGGCCACCACCGTGCGCTACAAAGGGAGGAACCTGCGGATCAAGGCACCCATGTGCCGCGCGCTGAAGAAGCTCTGTGACCCGGACGGTGAGTGCCCACGGCCGCGGGGCTGCTCCGGTGCCGGTGCACGGCCGAGCTGGCAGTGTCTCCCCGGCGGCTCCAAGCCTGCTTCTGCTGCTGCTGCCCACGGGTAGCACCTGCACTCGAAACTCCGTGTCACAGCAGTGTGTCCCCTAGGAGATTGAGTTTAGCTCAGAAGCCACAGCCTGTTCAAACAAAATGTCTGCCAGTCACAGGCAGGTCTCTTGTGTCCTCTCGTGGCCTGGTCCGTGGCTCAGGCTTGCAGCTGTGCCCACAGCCCTGTTGGCCTCCCTGCTTCAGAGCCCCAGTCCCCGGGGCCTTCTCTGCTGGCCTCGCTGTCATGGCAGAGCTGTTTGCCCGGAGCTCCGTTTATGTTCTTAGTTGTGTGGCCGAGCGCGCGGCCTTTTGCATCAAGGTTCACGTGTGCTGAGCCCTCGTGGCCCCGTCTTGTCACAGGCTTGAGCGACGAAGAGGACCAGAAGCCCGTGCGCCTGCCGCTGAAGGTCCCCGTTGAGCTGCAGCCGAGGAACAACCACGCCTGGGCCCGCGTGCAGAGCCTGGCCCAGAACCCGAGGCTCAGGTACCGTGGCCGTCGGCACCTCGGGGGAGAGGTGGGGCCCCAGGACGCCGATGCCACACAGGGTGGGGGCAGTGAGGCCCTGTTGTGGCGGCCCTCAGACCTGGGGGTCCTGGAGGGGTCGAGCTCCTGTTTCACACGTGGCAGGGGCTCTCGGGCCACAGGAGACAGATGTTGTGGTTAGCAGGGTGATGGAGACAGTCCCTCCCCTCAGGACCCCGTCCCTGCTGTCTTAGCATCTCCCTGGGGATTTGTGTGGGACGTAGACACACGGTACCACTGGGAGTCCAGACCGGTTTTCATTTAGACGTTGGACTTCTTCTTTGAGGTAAAATTTTCCAAAGTTACGATGAACTGTTAGTCATTTAGGGTGTCTGACTCATGGCCTGGGTACCTTCACACGGCACTGTAGGATTTTCCCCTCAGTCTGGCTCCAGAACATTTCATTATCTCAAAACCTCATGCACATGACGTCTTCACTTCCCCCACCCCCAGCCTCGGCTGCCCGTCACACATGCCGGTTCGGTTCCCGTGAAGGGGACAGTGCGGCCTGTGATCTGCTGTGTGGCTGCTCTCCCCGAGCGGAACACTTCATCTGTCAGGACCTCTTGCTTCCCTGTGGATGGAAGCTCTCCTGGTGCTCAGGCCGGCCCAACTTCTTGGCCCCAGAGGATGCTAACAGAACAGCGTGGTGGGCTGTGGCACGGCCTGCATCCCGGGGGCGCTCTCCTACGACCTGTCAGGGCACACAGGAGCGCTGGTTTTTTTCTCACAGCTTCATGTGAATCTACTTCTCTCCATTTAAAGGGCTAATTTTTTTTAAAGGTTTATGTATTTGTCAGGGCGCACGCGTGCACAAGCAGGGGGAACAGGCGGAGAGAGGGGGAAGCAGGCTCCCCGCTGAGCAGGGAGCCCGATGAGGGGCTCGATCCCAGGACCCTGAGATCATGACCTGAGCTGAAGGCAGACGCTTTACTGACTGAGCCACCCAGGCGGCCCTGAAGGGCTGACTTCTAAGAAAGGGAGTCAGTGGCCTTGCCAGGCACCGTGCCTCCGGCCCCTCCCCTGCGCTGTGTCCGCAGCCCGTGGCCCCATCTCATGTCCCCGCCGTAGCCTCGTGGTCCTCGGGAGCTTCCCTCCCCGTGTAACGGCTGCCCTGTGCTGCCGGTGGTTTCTCCGCAGGATGATAGTGGAGCTCCACCGGAAGGTCTCCAGCCTCATCGAGTTCTTGAAACAGAAGTGGGCGCTCCACGAAGTGCGGATTGTATCCTTTTCTTAGTGACGCAGCCTCGCCCGTACCTGCCATGCCTGCTACGTAAGACGCAGCTTCTCGTCTCCTCCTGAGGGTGCAGAGGGCCTGGGGCGGGGGGGCAGAGCGGGGACTAAAGCACAGTCCCTCATCTTCGGGGGCTCAGTGTGAGCCCCTCCTTGCTGTCTGCACTGCAGGGTGGCTGCCATCAGTCTCTGTGGTAGAGCTGGGGTCACACAGCGTCCCTGCCAGCAGGTTGAGTACCACGAGCAAGGACACATCCCCAGACTTCTTGTGTCCTTGGCCGCCAGTTAGCCTGCGGTCCCCGGTGGGAGGGTGGCTACTGGGTGCACCGCCGGTAGAGGAGGACGTCCCTGGCACGCGTGCTCCGCGGCCGGCGGCACATGGTGGGTCTGCTCCTGTGGCCGCTCCTTGACTGCGTGCCCAGCGGAAGACGCTCGAGGACCGGCAGCTGCAGCACTCGCTTACAGAGCCGTCGCAGGAGAAGGTGGCGCTGCACCTGTTCCCAGGGGAGAGCTGCACGCTGACGCCACTGCCCGGAGTGGCCCGCGTCGTGCACTCCAAGGCCTTCTGCACCGTGCACTGGCAGGAGGGCGGCCGGTGCAGGCAGAGCTCCAAGGACGCCCACACGTTGCCTCCCGCCCAGATCCTGGGCATCCAGAGTGGGCAGGGCACGGCCAGGGGCCAGGTGAAGTGTCCACGGGGCGGCGCTGAGGGCAAGGGCCCGGGACGTCCTCCTCCTTCCACCGATGCCTCCCAGAGCTCTGGAGAGAGCTCCCCTGAAAGTGCCCCTGGGGAGGGGGCCCCCCCGAGCCTCAGTAGCCTAGACACTCCTGACAGGCTGCCCCTGGGGCTTCAGGATGCCGGGGCACGGCTTGAGAAGACCCCCACGGCTGCTCCTGCAGAGGGCAGGGATGGCCCTGCCCGAGAGCCTGGGGATGGGACGTGTGCCTGTGGCCAGCTGCCGGAGCTAGAGGAGGAGCTCTCACTCCTTGACCCCTTCCCGCGCTACATGAAGTCTTGTCAGGACCTCATCATCCCCGAGCAGTGCCGCTGTGCGGACCTGCGGCCCTCCGGGTGCGCCTCCCCAGAGACTCGCATCCCCAGCGGGGCAGAGGTGGCCGACCTCACCCGGGCTGGGGCATCGTCCCCTGTCCGTGCCCCGCCGGCCCCAGAGCCTCAGCCCGGCCCCGGGCTCCAGCCAGATGTTTGCACTAAAGACTCAGCAGATGCACCTGCAGAGGAACCCCAGGAGAAGGCGAGCCCCTCGGAACCCCCGCCTCAGGGCCAGCCTGCCACCAAGCCTCCGAAGGATGTCCCCGCCGGCCGGCTGGCCCAGCAGCTGCGCGAGGAGGGCTGGAACCTGCAGACCTCTGAAAGCCTTACGCTGGCTGAAGTCTACCTCATGATGGGCAAGCCGAACAAGCTGCAGCTCGAGTACGACTGGCTGGCGGTGCTGGGCCCCGAGGGCCAGGCCCCCGGCGGGCAGGCCCAGGGCTCCCGCACTGGCTCCCCGCCCTCCACCTTCCACGAGCAGCGTCTCCTCGGCTGCCTCCTAAAGCTCATCTCCACGGAGGTCAACCCCAGGCTGGTGAGTGCCGGTCGACGCTGAGCCCTGTTCCCACCTCAGGGGGGCTGGGCTCCGCCTATAGGCTCTCACCCTGGCAGCGGGGTCCTGGGGGAGAAGGAGGCGGGGGCCCAGCTGACCGGGCAGGCCTCGGTTCCTTCCCTCGAGCCGGGTTTTGGAGAGAGGGCTCTGGTTTGCTGCAGGCGGGGGCCGCCTCCTCATGGCTCACACGAGGCTCCGAAGACAACAGCGACCGAGAAGCCGTTCCTTGTCAGGCTTTAGTAATTACACTCGGTCCTCCCTCCTGGCCAGGGACAGCCCGTGTAGAGGCGATGCGGTCGCCGTGGCCAGTAGCCAGGCAGGAACCTTGCAGATTTCAGCAGAGGGAATGGCAGGGTCATTCGTGCTTGAGTGGGGCCGTCCTGGGAGGACGGTGGCACAGCTTCCCAGGAGAGAACGGGGTGGGGAGGGGATGGACGGGGTGCCGGGCCTGCGCCCAGGAGCCAGGTGAAGGGCTCGGGGGGTCTTCAGGGGCTCCATGCTGGGGGATCCTTAAGCCTGGAGAGTGGCTGTGACCCCTTCCTGGGGCATCAGGTCAGCAGCAATGGGGCAGAGGATGCCACCGAGAGAAAGTCCGTGGGCTTTCCTGGGCGCGAGAGAATGGAGTCTGAACAGGTTCCTGAGCCGCTGTGCATGCTTAGTGCTTGGGAGCGCGGGGGTCCATCACCTCCAGGAGCAGATACCAGGGGAGCAGAATGTGGTGGCCAGGAGGGGGCTTGGGGGACAGAATGGGCTGTGGGGACCCTGTGGGCCCACCAGAACAGTCATGTCTGCACAGCCGTTTCCGCTCCTCCCGGAGAGACGGCCCTCAGCGTGCGTCCTGCCCGCGTCCCTGTGCGGCATTTGCCACAGAGAAGGTGCTCAGTGGAGCGTGCGGGGATGCGTGTGAGTCCGTGCTGCGGGAGAGAGGGCTCTCACGGGCTGGTGGGACCTGGGTGGGGACTGCAGAGACCGGAGGGTGAGCCGTGGCCTTTAGGTTTAGTGTGGAAAGGACTAGTGCCCCACGGATGGGCGTGGACAACGTGCGGGCGAGTGGACAGATGAATTCAGCGTACGTTCTAGAGTGAGGCTCCTGGAGGAGAGAAGACTGGAGGGACAGAAGCGTGTCCTGTACGTTGGGGGAGAGGACCCAGCGAGGCCAGCTCCCGTGGAGCCTGGGGCAGCAGCGGACGCAGGCAGTGGCCTTGGCCTTGATGGGGAGAGAATGGCAGGAAGCTTGGGAATACGGCAGAGAATTCAGAGCAGGCTGTTCAGAGCCATGCCCCAGAGTGGGGCCCCCACAGCGGCCTCTGCATCACCTGGGGACTCATGAGAGATGTGTGTTCTGTGGGCCCAGAGACGTAGGGACCCCTCCCCCAGCTGACTGTGACGGAGCTCAGCTGTGAGAGCCCCTGGGTAGAGGTCCAAGCTGAGCTCGGAGCCCTGCGTGGGAGGCAGGC